TAGCTCTGTATGTTTAATTATTATTTCCTTCTAAAATGGTTCTAACCCCTGCATACACTGAGGTCAGACAATGGTTACCTCAGTAACTTTTTTTCCCCTTTCTTAAATGCAGATACTTCATTTGTTATCTTTCATTCAGGTATTATCACTCAAGTGAGATTCAGTTATAAAAAACCCTTGCTGCTGGAACTGTACCTTCGTGTTTCCATTCTTTCAGACTTTTAGACTGGAGACTGTTCCCACCCCACTCCTTGGCTGTCCGACCAGTGACTAAGATATGTCTTGGTCATCTCTTATGGGATGAATGTACCCTCATCCTCATTAACCATTGTATCATACTCTCATTTTCTACTGTAGTGCTCTGAATGCACATACTGGGCACTGAGACAAAATCTGAAATTAGGCTTGGGGCTGTTCCTTTGTTATTTTTAATTTAAACTACATTTTTTCACCACTTTTTCTTGTTTTTCTTCTACTCATGTCTGGCGAGCCTTTTGTCATTTGTAAGTGTAAATCCAGTTTGAATTTTGGCAGTTCTTTCTCCTTCTAACTTAGACTTAAAGATGTAGGCTTTTTTCCTTGCCATTCCTCTTTTCTATTCTCTGTAGGCAATTTTTGCATACTCTTGATATACTTTCTGAGGTGATTATTCACGCAGTCTGCAGCTTTATCCTACAGTGAGGTTTTTTTCATTAGTTCAGGGTGTAAATTTTAGACAGTTTTTGTATCTCTGATTTAAATAAGTTTAAGCCTTTTCCAAATTCCAGTCCTTCACCTTTTTAATTTGGCTACTTTAACTCATTATCTCCCTTATTTTCTCAAATATTTTAAAAAATCTGAACATGGATTTAGAAAGGCTTATCATGGACAATTTCCCTCAGCAGATACTCAGTACAGGAGGATTCATAAAATACCTGTTCTGTGATCATCTGCATATTGCAGGCCAAAACACATTTCTCAGTTTATCATACAAAGTGAAGATCTGTTGTAAAATACCAACAGCCTTTACTTTAATTTGTAAAATTCCTAGCTGATCCTAGAAAGCAGAGCACACAGCACACTCTGATCTTCTGTCTAAGGCATTGAAATTTCAGTGATCTTTGCCAGTCTGATGGTGGAGAGATCCCCACCTGATTTGCAGTCTCACAATTGGTTGTTTTTGAGAGTCTGAGCGAGGCACAACAGTCAAATAAGCTGAATATAATATATGCACATCTTTTTTTGTGTTTCTATGTAATTGAAATCTTTGAGTCAGATTCTACAGAAGCAGCTATCCCATAAACATATTGAAACTTTGTTAATCCACATAAAAATATTTTTTTGTTAATTCTGTGACTTTTTCATGAAGAAATAGTTCAAGTATCGCATCTAAGGAACAGTGAATCTTGCCAACATTAGAAGCATCATCTCCTGCAGTTCTCGGCAGTACTAATCTCTCTAACAGTATTTGAGAGATTTCTAGACAAATAAAATCCTATTGGTCATATTTGCACTCTTGTAGACCCTGTTTTTATAATTCTTCCCCCAGATGATTTTTGACCTAAGCTCAGGTATCTTCATCTGCGTTACTTGTATTTCTCTGCAGCATTCACAACTGGAACATAGGCACTAAAAGCATTTTGTCTCCCAGGGAGAACCTACTGTAGTATCTTCCTCCGAGTCGTGCACCAGCAATCCACCAGAAGTCTCTGGTTCTTCCTGTTTTACCAGAGTTCTTGAATCAGGGTACCAACACTGTGAGTGCTTCCCTGTGACCTCTGTCTCCTGTATAACTGAACTACAGCTCTTTCACAAACTGTGAACACGGCTTCCAAGCATCATACTTCCTCCCCACTAATAATGTTTCCAGCACTTCTCCTTTTTTTTTAAACTTATTTATATTTTACTATTTGTTCACTTACAATTTTATTCTATTTGGATAACAAATCTTTCACAATACTTCTCTCCCGATTTCCTGTTGTAAAATATAATAGCTACAATAGACTTGACTGTAAACATGAGTGACCTGTGCTCAAATGATGTCTTTTTGTTGAGAGAAGTCAGTTTTGTGTGAATGCCTGCCAATGATGAAACATCCCCAAACCTTCCAAAGTAAATTGGCAAGTTGTCTGCTGATCAACACTATGATGTTATGTCTCCACGTTCCTGCCCTTGAAAAGGCAAATCTCAAAGAATGACAAAATTACTACTGAAAGTTCCATGAAACCTGAATTTCTTTGAACATTCTCCTCACCCTGCTGTAGTTGTCTGTGAGTCATTTCTGTGGAGATGTGGATTTATGGTTGGTCTCAGTATGAGGGACATGCAGTGGAGATTCCCACGCTTTGTCTCCAACAGGGGTTTGAAAGTCCCATATTGAGTGACAAGAATAAAAAGTATGGTACCACTGCTGACTCTGTCCAGTGTGGTGAATGAGGCAAAGAGTCCTTTGGGACAAAACTGCCATCTGCTATTAAAAAAAAAAAAAATCATCCCTGTATCTACACCGATCCTGTGCATAGGTATGCAAAAGTTTGTGAAAACACATGCACTGATATAAAAAGAATATTTGCCTTTTTTCTATAAACTGCATGCATGCCTGTAGAATTCAACATATGAAAGATCCCGGTACTTGGGAACTGATTCCTACAGCCATAAATTCTTGATCTGCTCATATATTACTTCCAGACTCGGCAAAGTCAAAAATGCAGAGGTCCTTGTTTACCTGAAACATAACAGAACAGAGACCTCATCAGTACTGTTTGAAATATCATATGGACAGCAGGCCTTTATTCTAAAGTTATTCCTTCAGGGATTGCAGTTGAGTTGCAGAAACCTATAAACTGAAGTTAAGAAAAAATGCATTAAATTGTGTCTTTGATTTTGGTGTCGCACTACCATTCATAGCCTCTGCCTTATGAATCAAGTTATCATATAGTATATTAAAAATATATGTAATGTGTTTTTAGTTGCTTTTTCTTCCCCTACTTCCTTTGTTTTGCACATGACTAAGCTTAATATTTGGGAAAGCATGCTCTTAGTTGGTTCTAGATTAACTCCTTTACATAACCAGAAATAATTTTAGCAGATATCTTGCTGTTTCTGTGGGACCCTATTTGGGGTACATGCAGCAGCATGCAGTACAATAAAACGCTCTTTCAGCAAATGTTTAGGAAAATACTTTCCAAGAGATCTGCACACGATTAGAATTACTGAGTGCTCTCCTCTTCAGCTTCCTGTTTTGGAATTAAATGCCTTCGGGACACTTGGAATATCTCCGTTTTGAAAAGCAACAGCAACTTAACCAATTAAATACTTCATTGTTTTAGCTATGATTTCAGTTAGTTGTAAATAGGGATGAATATATGAAATAGTCCCTGAGATTCCTTGATCAAATTGAAGGAAAAATTAACTCCAGTAGCCATAGAGTAGCTTTTGAGTGAAATTAGAGCAGATAAAATGTAGCAACAGTCAAAGCTACATTCTGGCTCTTTCTCTGCACACATACACAATTACTAGCTCTTTCCTTACTTCTTGTATCCTGTGTTTCTGATCCTGTGGGATACTGAGCGAGAATCACTTTCTGATACGGTCAAGGAGGTTGGAGCTGTGGAGCCTCTCACACTTTGTGTGCCCCGAACACAGAAATCGCCTGCTGAGGCTAGCACAGCACCGTGTGTCGTTCACCAGGGCCCTGGAGGGCTCGGGCTCTGTTCCCTGCTCCAGCGAGTGTTCCCTGACTCATACAAAGTGGAACAGGAGAGACGTCACCTCAAGTGCTTTGTGGCTCTGAAGTGCCCTTCTGAGGGAGGAGAAATGTGCCTTCCCCACGCAGGTGGAGGAGCTGTGCGAAATGGGTGAATGCAGCATTGAGAGGGAGGAGGCAAACATACCACTTCTCCTTTTCCTCCTCAAGTTTTCTGCTGCTCCCGAAAAAGAAAAACCTGAACATTTTTTTGGAACAATTTGATAATTGCTTGAACTGTTTTACATTGCTTATTTATAAAGTTTGAAGGAAAATTTAGATGCGCTTGTTGAACAGTTGTATACATAACAGTCTCTTCCCTCTACCTAGTGCTGAGCAATTCAACAATAAGAATTCCCTAAAATGAGTTAAATTACTGTATTTAACAGCTCACCTGTTATGTGGATTTTGCATCTGTGTAAAATTTCTATAGTAACACTGTACATGAGCTTGGCCAGGTGTCGTTACGCGTGTACCATTTCTTGATTTTTGTGAACCACCTGCCGCAGTGGTGTTTTCTGGTCAGTGTATTTATGCAGTATTGTTGAACATTACAGGTGTTTTCCACCACAAACTGCTGTGGAAATATTTGGGTATTTCTAATTCTGTATTGGGCTTTCTTGTCAAATAAAACAGAGTTTGCATGAAGATGGAGGCTGTTAGAAGATTCAGTCCAGACAGAAACATTGTAAATAATTCATACAGATTTTCTACTTGGCTTTAATGAATTGTAAAGCAAATGTCAAATTCTTAGTTTTGGAGTATAGCTGGCTTCGAGGTGCAGTTGTATTGAGATACACAAAACTCCTAGTGGTGTATTACTATAGGTGAGATCCCTTTCTATTTCTGTATTTTCTTTATTTTTCTGTAGAAGTTTCCTAACCATATTATTCAGCCATAGGAATGTAGTATAGCTATCTTTATTGTTAGATGATGCCTTAACAGGCAATTTTTAATTGCAAGAATGTATTGCATTGTGTCTTCTCATTTGAATTGTGTGAATTTTAGCTGCATTTTGTCAAACTACAATTACTTCTTTGTAAAGCTTGCTAGCAGTTAAATTTGTGTTGAGATCTATTATGTACTGCATTCCTGGAAATTAATAATATCATGTAATACAGCAAGGTAGTTTTTATTTGAGATCACATTAATAAAAGAAGTCATTCAGTACCTTCTTTCCAGCCACTATGAATGTCTCCAATATACATTTGGGCTGGTTGTGATCAATGACATTTGATACTATTTATTAATACTTAGAATATTCTTACAGGTTATTTTGCTTGAAAATGAACTGAAGGGCTTCTGACCAGCCCAAATCTGAATTCAGAGCTTTATGTTTCCTACATACCAGTGATTAGAGACTAGGAAGTAAGTACATCTGTATCACATCATATATTAATAAAATAACCAGTTTTTCAGAGCAAGCAAAAGTTGAATTTACTTGTCTTGGTAGGGCCTGGCCCTGTTCCATAAAAATATATTTTATTATATCTATACATCTCCAAAAAGAAAACAGCACTGGATCTTAATGTGCTACTAGTTTTATGTAAGTGCAGCAACAAATTCAGATTATTTGGTTTTGACAGTTTACAAGGAAATTCATAATTATTTTGAGTGATAGTTAAAATTTTTGAATTAAGATTATTTTGAATTTGAAATAAATCATTATATTTTAATTTTCTCTTCCTGTTTTCTTAATAAGGTAATGATATATATGCTTTAGCCTTAATGTATAGTTAATTTAATTGGATCTCTCCTATACAAATAATCTTGTTGTAATTAAGCTACATTGTTTATGATTATTGTTTCTAATTGTTGTGCTTTTATTATATAGGCTATGGCCAAGCTTAGATTAGCATCTCAGGTAACTTTTAAGTTGTATCATTTTGACAGATACTAACTTAATGGGATACCATTTTCTTTTTCAGCTAGACAGCATGCAACTATTACACTTAGTGCAATAAGTCACTGTCCCAGTGTCACTGCCTTTCTCTTACAGAGTCAAGGGTGGGCACTGGCGCCAGCATGCCTCCCTGAAGCTCTTGCCCAGCCCCCCATGGTGGCCGAGCCCTTGGTACAGCAAACAACTCCAGAGTTGCACCGTCCCTGCTTCCCCTTCAGCCGCCTCCAATTGTAAACCTTTAACTTCACATTTCTTGTTTTTATAATGCCAGATTTTGTGACAATTTGAGCATTTCTGTCTGTAACTTTTTCACTTGAATTACTGCTAAACACTGTCTGTCAGTCTTGGCACCATTTTCATACAGTTTCCCATCTGAGAAATTAATGAGGATTTGAGTTTGTCTTCTATAAAGTAAAGGTTTGTAGGCATTTGCTGTCAGTCTCCCCATTGAATTAAGCATGGCCAAAACTGGGTTGCTGCTGATTTCTCAAAGAAGAAATAATAATCTTTGTTCTAAAAAAATAAAACTGACCTAAAAATACAGCTGAACTGCTACCTTTGTCTTCTAGTGTAGCATTTTTTTTTCTTTTAACCTACTGTAAAGCATATTTTTATGAAGCATATTATGCCCAATCCTGGAAAAGCCTTGGTTCTAAAAAGCAATAATCCTTGAAATAGTACTTAATCTTGAAGTAGTAACCTTTCCTAATTTGTAAAAATTCAAGATAATGACATAAATAGTGGGAAAATACTACAATTTGGTTTCTTTGTCTGGATAAAATTCAATGATATAAAACTTTGCTTGTGTGTGAATTTTAATTTTTTTTTTACTCTAATAATTTTTGCAAACTAACTGCAACAATGTGTATTTATACCTACTTGATCTGTTTTTCATGAGCCTTGAAAACTGTGCACTCCTGTCTATATGTGTAGCTTGTTCTCATATGGTAGCACTGTTGAAGACAGACGGGTTTTGCAAGTATTTTTTATGATGGCTTGTGAATGAAATTCCAAATCTTTCTATTAAATAGAGTTTTCTTGTTATAATCCTAGAGTAGGAAAATTCACAGATTTAAATCACTAGAGGTTGTATCCACCAAAGGACATGGATGCACTTGGAAGCTCTGGCCAAAATTTGGTCTGGAAGAAGCCCTTCTCACCTACCCCTTGACCTGCGATGTGCCTGGGGGCCCTGCGAGTCAATCCCAGGTTGTTCATGCCATGGACTTCCACAATCCATTTCACCCTCAGGACCAGATCTAGCAAGGCTCCTGAGAACAGGACTCCAAAAGGTGCCTGGCAAAAGACGGCCAGAGGAGATGATGGTATTGCCCTGTAGTTTGAGGGAGGTTACGGGCGATCCTGGGTTTGGTTCTCTTTGTTGGCAAAGGGACTGAGAGCTACCTCATTGGGTGTTAATGTATTGTGAAAGCTGTTCTGCTTCATATGGAATAGTTAAGTATATGTTGGATGAGACAGAGGAATGGACTTTGGACTGATGTTTACAGTACTCAGAAGAAGTAGCTGGAGTTTCTGTCCCTGCAGAGGGGCATACGCAGGGTGGTCTCCATACTGTTCTCTGTGCTGCATGACTTTTCTTACAGAAAAGCTCGAGGCAAAAAGGAGTATGCCATGGGTACCGCCATCTCTAATTGTTTCTTATCTCACCATAATTAGAAAGAATGACTGCTGTAAATGCCTAATCCAGAGGAATTATATTGACAATATTAGTTGGATTTAGTGGAAGTAAATGCATTCCTGCAGTTTACAGATGAGGTTGCTCTGTTCTTCTGCGAGGTGTATGCCCATAGCTTTGTGTGCACCTTTCTTTTAACAATTCCAGGTGGTCTGGGTTGCTCCATCGTCCCTCTGGTTACCTCGCCATGTTTTCTAGCTCTGCAAGGTGCTTAAGCCCTGTTCAGGATGGAGTCTTGTACTTCCAACATAAAAAAGGAGAAAACGTTTCTTCTAGGGGAGGAGAGAAGCCACCAAAGTCTGAATTTTATATGTGACAACCTGGGAAGAGTGAAGAGTGATTTTGAAAGAATTTCCCACCTTTATGTGAAGAAAAAAATTCACAACTGTTCTGTTTTCATGGTCCATTGCTTCTTTTGCTTGAATAGATTTGCTTTCACTTGTGATAGCAGTTTAAAAGCAATCAAAAGAAATCTCATTTCCAACCATTAGAAGTGATTGTTAATGCATGAGAGGCTACAGCAGTTTTACGTGCTGCGCCTTTTTTGGGGTGGAAGTCTTGGTTTTGGTCTTTTGGTATGCTCAGAATGACAAAAGGCTATGTTTTTTTTTGTGTTAGTAACCTCTGTTTCTGGGGGGAAAATAGTAATTCTAATAATGACTGAATGCTTTAACAGTGTCACGGTGCTGACTTACAGTCAGATTTGCCTTTGGGAAATGAAGTATCCTGGGGATCTGTGTGCCCATAGGGATCCATTGCCTGTTTACGTTAACTCACCTCTGAGTTTTTCCGTTGGTGGCACAGTAGCTTTCCAAGGTATCTGTGTCTTCCAAAAGGCACTTTGAGCATGGCACTTAGTAACATCACCAACTAATTTAAGGGCCACTTTCTTTCTCTGTTATCGAGGGGCAGTATTTAACCAGATGTCTCACTGGGCTAACTGAATTTGAAGAAATCCAAGATAGTGGGGAGAATTTTGTAGCTGCATGCAGAAAATAAATCCATAAGGTAACTCTGTTATTCTTCAGAGTTCTTTTGTTATCCTCATATTGACTCATCTGTCACTAATGATGGTGGCACTGGAAAACATGTAGAGATTGTTGGTTTCCCCATGTATATTTCACATAAAATAGTAATTTATTAATGTATATAAAAAATGCTGTAACTGGTGGCAAAGACATTTGTGCACAATTCATCTTACACTTAAATTATTCAGGAAGATGTCCACATATTTATGCATTTTTTCAGGCTGTGATAGAGTGGGGTAAGTTTGATTAGAACCTATAAACTTTAGCGTAGTGTGAATATTTAATAGCAAACAGAAAATACTGACAATCACTTAATGTAAACTGAAATTGTCCTGCTATATTAAAAGAAAAAGCCCCATGTGCTAGGATGGTTTTGAGGTTCTTGCAAGTCTTTGTTGGGCTTTTTCCCCTCAGCGTGTTTAGTTTTCCAAGAACATTTTTTAAATTTTCTAGGCCTCCTTGCAATTTGCAAGTAATACTTAATTTTGAGATTCAAATCCAGGCACTGGGCACACTATCACTTCAGCCTTCACCCAGCAAAGCTCCCATCTGCCATCCTCCAGCCTGCGGGGACAGTCTGGGCTGGTTGTGAGGGTGTGCAGTGGGCTGCTGTCTGGAGGTCTGGCTGTCCTCTTACCTCGCTGACCACTGCCACTCCACACTCTGTTTTCAGCATGGAAGGGAGGATGGGATCCAGAGGTTCAAGATAAATGTAAAGGTGGGGGGGGGAATGACTTGAGACTGCACAGGAGGGACAAAAACCAGCAGCAAAATGACCTGCAGAGACTAGACCCGTGGGGGCTGCAGGCAAAAAAGTGAGGCATGGTCCAAATAAATGTGGAGAACACCCAAGAGGAAGAATAAAGAGTGCAGATACAATCTCACCACGCTGCCGCACCCTCCACATTAAGCTCTTTTTTAATTCAATCTGATGAACACTGTCCTACCATTCAGTTTTCATGTTCAGATCTCCCTATTTGCCAAAGGGAAACTGTTGAATGGGGAGGGGAGCTGCTCCCTGAAAGCTCCTATGTTTCACACGGTAGTTCACAGTCATCTCTGAAGAAAGAGAAATGCAGCACTGGAGAAACAGTAATACATTTGTTTTCAACGTTAGAGTCTGAAATGAAATTAAGTGTAAATGTATTCCAAGCAATGAAATCAGATTTGCTTATGAATCTGGATTGCATCTTCTTTTTTCTCCCCTCACAACAAAACTAGCAGTACCAGTAACTATGCCTGCATCACCTCTTCCTCCCTTTCCTGCTTGCAGCCCAATCCTGCCATGCTCCTGCAGTATTTCCCAGGGGGCTGGCCTGCAGCAGGAGGAAATAGAGGTCAAGACAACAAGAAAAGAGATGAGGAACATGGGAATTGGGAGAAAGGCAACAGTGACTTGAGATCCAGGAGAAATGTGCCTGCTGTTCTTTAAACAGCTTCTCTTAGCTTTTCCCCCAAAAAGGGCATTAGGGCCTGCTTCTGCATTTCAAAGGGAATTTAGGTTGAGCAAGGAAGTCTGGCTCAGCCAGTCTCTGTGGGTGAGGTGGAGAGAGGGAAATGTTTAGTGTCAGAAGAGAAAAATCTTTTTTATTAGGTAATGCTGTCGCCTTCCCAGTTTACCTTGTCTGTCACTTCCCGGGCCCTTCCCTTTCCTTTGGAGCCCTCCCTCCAAAGCTGACCTGCCTTAACCCATACCTTCCTGCTGCTCTTCAGTCTGCGGAACACAATTACTACTAAAGAGTATCAAAGCACGCTATTAACTCTCTCCTGCTGTCAAATTAAATTGTTACAAGGAGTTTTAAACTTGCCTTCTTCATCACGAGGAATAAAAATAGTACAGATAGGTTATTTTGCTTTCAGAATGACATGTGGAATCATTTCTTACCCATTGATTTCAATAATTTAGCATTTTAAAGGGAACAAATTGACTTAATTTGTTTACGGGATACTTAAAGGTTGAGAACAGTTTTGTATCAATTAAAATTAGTGATAATTCATTTATGGAACTAATACAATTAATTAGGTAGTTGCGGCTTATGTTTTTTCTAATACATACATTGCTTTTAAACATCTGCTCAATAGTTCAATATGATAGCATGAGAATGATTTTACGTGAGAGCAATAGAGGAGCAGATGCTTCCTGATGACAACTTCCCAATTTGTTTAGGAAACAGTCAGTGAGTCCTGGATTCACAGTTTTAACTTGAAGCATGGCAAGCATGCAAGCAAATTTACAAAGCAGAAACAAAATATTGAGAAATCAAATTACTTCATAACATTTTTAGTGATTGCAATTTGGTCAAAACCCCTCTTTTTTAACTTTTTTTTTTTTTTAAATGTAGTTATGTTTATTTTATCTTTACAAGCTGTAAAAAAATTTATTATTTTTTTTTGTGGTATGTATGCACGTATGAATGTTTTGCAGCAGTTACAAAATCTTCTAAAGTTAAAATTGATTTTGATATTGTCTGTTACAGTACCTAAAATTTAATATCAGCTCAAAAAGAGAACAATAGTATAAATAAAAAAGGAAACTAGAACAATTACTTGAAGAAAAAACTTAAATAGGCTATCATATGACATGTATAAAAATAAAATCATGTGGGGTTTTTTTGTTTGTTTGTTTGTTTGTTTTTTTTTTTTTTTTAATAAGTTACACCTGCATTTTATATTTATGACTTTATCAGTAGTTGGATAGAGAGTGAAAAATAAATCTCTTCTTTTGGGCTGATAGAAAACTCTGAGGCTTCATGGATTTGTTCAGCCACGCATAGACTTCTAGATGTTCCAAAGATCACCTAAAATGACTGCACTCATTTTATTCATCTCATCAGCAAAGTTTATCTCATCAGCTAAATAGATACCATAAAAACTTTTAGGCTCCAAAATGCAGTTTCCCTGAATAAATACTGTGTGTTGTACTTACAGAGACTGTAAAGTACAGGATTACACATCAATGCTCTATCTTTTTATGTAAGGAATCTTGAAACTGCTGTTTACTGAAAGGAAAGGGGATTAGAGGTAGCCCTAAGAAGGATTCAGCTATCTGCTTTTATATGCAAATCACAAATACAGTGAGCCCACTTGTCACTAGGAACAGCAGAAAAAGAGATCTGAGTATCAGAAACTTTTTTTTGAGTAAGTGTAGAAACTTTATAGTAGAAGAAGTCCACCTTGTTACAGAGCAGAATAATGTCAGTTTCAAAGCTTCTTTGAGTTTTGCATTCAGCAGAATGCTTGATTTCAGAAGCTGCCTAAACTATTTCTCAAAAAAAAATCCAGGACAATGCAAGATAAATGTGTTCACACATATTCTGTTCTCAAAAAGAGTAAAGCAGTAGAGCTGCCTTCTTCCCTTCTCTGCTGCCTCTCCTGCCATCAAACTATGTACGTCTGGAAAGGACACTTCTGGATAAAATCACCTTTCTCTAGAAGTAATAGGATGTTTTTGGGAAGTACTTCACGGTCTAATGTACGTCTGGTAATGGCAGGGATTCTTGAGATTTCTCAGTGGCTATCTCGAGGAACATGATATTAGGAAGTCTGTCATTTGCTTTCCTTTTGCTAATCCAGCAAATGAAGATAAAAGATGCTTACCAGCTGAAATCTGTGCTAAAACCAGTAAATTGAATTCTTAATGATGTTGTTCCTAGGTTAGTTTATGACTTTTTGATATAGTAAGTAGAGTTTTTATAAAGCATGTTTTCCCTAAGAGTGTACAGGTTTGAGTACTTAATTTTTGAGTGAGTATTAACTTACTTCTTTTCCTAAGTATTTGGAGGTATTAAAGAATATGACTTCTTTATCATTCAGTCTAAAATAGTCACAAATTAGATATCAGTATTTATGTGAGGGTACACAGTTGTATTACCCTTATATACAGAAAGCAGGAGAGAGAATTATATGTATACATACATCATTTTTTAGAACAGTAAGTATTTAGTACATGAATAGGTAGTCTTGCCATTTCCAGAAGTATTTTTTTAGGACAAGGTAAGCTAGTGACTTGGCAATAGGCAAGGCCATAATAGCTGATGAAACTTTAATTTCAGTAAAGCAGTATGATTTTCGTTGCAGGAGGTTGATCTGAAAGGTTTTTGTAAATTTTGATGTAAGGTCACTTCTGGATATGGACTCTTTCTCCTTCCCACACCTAAAAACTTGAAAACCAATCTTTAGTTGTGTTTGTTTTTTTGTTTTCTTTCACCATAGGCTGCTGCTGTTTTTTCTTTTACTATTCTCACTAAAGCACTGAGAATGGATCCATTTTAAGGAAAGTTCAGTTTACTATAGAGAAGACATTTCTATTTTCCTTGAGAGGTTTTTTTTAGTCTATATTTCATATCTGATCAGAGTGTGTGACTTGTGTGAGGTGGAAAAGAACTTGCCTCCTTAGTCTGTTACACATTTACATGGGAACTGGGCATAGCTCTACCTGGCCTGTGAGGTCAGATGCAGTAATCATCATTGTCCCTTCTGGCATATTGTCTTCAGTATCCCTTCACATACAGTTTTTAAAACTGGGTTAACACAGAGAGCACTTTCTTTAGTGTTCTCTTTCGGTGCTTTAGATATCTGTTTCCTGATAAGCTAAAATCAACGATTCATGCAGCCATCCAGTATTTCCCAGAAGCCTTCTGTTCTGTGAGCATCTATGATTTTCTCATTTAATGTCCAAAAATGTACTTACAGTACCTTGCTATGTAGCTTCCCAAGGTCTGTGCCTTCCATTTGTAATCTTCTATCCATGTGTCTGAGCCGCATCTTGTTGCCTATTACACTAAATTTGGGGGAAATCAATTTTATGTGGGCTATAAAAAAAAATATTGAAAGTATTTTGTGTGTCATTATTGTTATAGTATATCAGTTCTTATATCTCTTCATATATTGATTCATCGCTGAGTTAAGGACGTGAGATAAAAATGCAAAATAGCTTAAAATTTCTTGTGTGTTGAACCAGCATAGCGTTCAGAGGATGCTGATTCTTCTTTTCTGTTCAATCGTTTTTATTTTGCTTGGAGAGAGACAGCCAATATTAACAGTTACTTGGCAATAGTCAAGTTGTGAAATGCACACCCAACCTGTGGGGCATTATGGTTGCTTAGTTCATGTATGTAAATTTGGGGGTTTGAAAACTGAACAAGTCCACACCCATAATGTCTTCTTGGAAAGTTTGTTCTAACATTTAATGGCATTATTATTTTAATGATTCCATTTTCAGAGATGTTGAGTATCGACAATATTTAGAAAAGTAAAAACAACTGGCTGCTCAGCTCTTCTTGAATATTAATTTGAAACACTAGGAAATCTGTGCTGCAACTGGGGTATATATCTTCCATCTATTTTGATTTATTTCAAATCTACAATAAACTTTACTTACTTTACACCTGAAATATACATTAACAGGAAAAAATTATTTCAGTTTTAGAAGTATTATTATCAAAAACAACCTCTGGCAAAAAGCCTTTAAAGAAAGGAGAGTAGAGAATTTTTGGTGGATACATTTGATTTCTCTTTTGGCAAGCAAAACCAGATTATTTAAGGATACACTTTTAAAATGGTCTATACTAAAGGTAATGGGGAGAGATGCAGCAGCAGTCACCTTATTGTACCAGTTATTGTGCCATAAAGATTTAGAGAGCTTTTGTCTTTTGCTTACAAAAGCAGCCTGCACTTAGAGAGACCTCGATTCTGCAAATGCTTACACATAGTTCACAGTTTGTGGAAGTAAGTCTGTAAGATATCTTTGTAGGTTTTGGATTTCTGTGATTTTCTTGCTAGTATTGAAAAATTCATTTGGGAATTTAAATGAGCAGTGCTGTGAAAGGGGTGATTGCCATTATTTCTGTGTTGTATATTTGTTGAATTTATTACAGTAATAATAATTACTTTTCCCTTGATACAAATACAAAAGTTCATGTATTACTGTGTTCGTGTTTGTTGTTTTAGGAGTGTTTGGATGATTCTCAAGTAGCTGGAGTTGGTGCAGCAGAAGTGGTGATACGCTGTGAATATCATGTCTTGTACTCCAGCAGCTACCAAGTACCTGTCCTATATTTTAGGGCATGCTTTTTAGGTAAGACCAGTCTTCTGTTAGACAAAGGGAAGAATAAAAATGTGTTGGATGGCATAAATGTTAAAAACTCAGATTTGAATTGAGGAACAGAGTAATGATCGTATGTAATAAAAAGTAAGAGATGAGGCTGTTGACCAGTAAATTTTGTAATACTCCTGACACAGGGCTTCAGGACCTTGGAGTAGGTGATATCATCTCAGCCTGAAGAATGCTGATCTTTGGCTCCTGGCGTCTTGCCTGTAGTTGACTAAAACTGCCAGTCCTTTTTCGTGTTTCTACAGGTTTGAATTTGGCTACAAAATAAGTGGACATAATTACAGTGCTTCAGCAGAACTCTGTCTGTTTCTTTGGAGTCTGAATTTGAACCGCAAGGCTGGGGTCTAAATATACCTTTCAAAGTGTATGCTGTTTTCTATTTAAATTTGCTGCTTAAAAAAATTAAAATAATACCAATAAGGTATTGCTTTTTTCGGTCTATTAAAACTGGATCGTGAAACACTAACTGATCGTCTTTCCTCCCTGATATGTACATCTTGTTACTCATTACTTAATTGCTATAGCCACTGTGATTTCACTCACCATCCTGTCAGGAAGGAAGGAGGAACACACAGCCTCTCTCCAAGGCCACCGTTAGTGTCACTTATTTAATCAGCAACCACAGAGTGATCACACTGCAGCATTGGCTGTGTTCTGTTCCTCTCTGCCCAAACGAAGACTCTGTACCTAGGGTGGAGGGATTGAAATCTTGAAGTCATTTCATTGAGTCTCCTGCATGGTAGCATAAGTATCTTCTGTGTTTTGAATAATCTCCTAACTTTATCTAGATAAAGATGTCTGAATGTTGCCAGTGCTATCTTTTCCTTTTTAATTAAAAAGTAGCTTAAGCTGCTTTGAATATGTTTGGTAGATTTAATCATTCTCTGCCTTATATTGTTTAATGGTTTCTAATTTTGCAGTGTTAGCGTTTTAAAAGGCACTTTAGATTTAAAATTAAAGAAGAAATTCTCATAGACTCCCTGGTGGAAAGTTTCTAGTCTGAGGTGCAGTTTCAGGAATGGATAATTTGGGGTAAATTTTCAAATTGGGATGTGGGGAATTGGGGACATTGCTCTGCCTCTACAACTCATTTGCACACATCCTGCTGCAAATTTATTCCTAGAGTTATTACAGGCATTTACAAATTGCAATGTTTTGCCTTTAAACTTATTATGCAGACAGGAAGAGAAAGAAAGTTTTTCTGTAAGAGACAGATTAACCTATTTGTGGTCCTGAAAAAATGTCGTCTTCTTGGTTTTAGCTGAATTAATAGTGTAATGTCTCTCCAGAAGAGGATGGAGACTCTGCAGGTAGAGGAAATAGGACACTATTTCTACTGTACTGTACTTTCATATAATTAGTATTCACCATAAGCAGTTAATCACCAGAGAAGAGCTCCCAGAGACAAAACAAGTTGTTTAGCTTGTCAGCATCAGGGAATCGGAGGTGTTGAAACATGACTCCTTATAGCTGGAAGTGGATATTACAGAAGCCAGTGGATGATCTAATGCACAATCAGTATTATGTGCCAACAGCTCCCCTTGCAGTACAAAACTGTAATTGTTCCTACAAGTACAATTACGTTTTAAAACACTTATTGGGAACCTTTCACAATGGAAAGCAAGGACTTTTTAAAGATAATTCCTAAAGTCACCTGGGTTCTCTTCAGCATGTAACATTCTCTTTTAATGTTTAACATTCTCTGACTCTTGAAGAGAGAAGGATACGAAATGCTGGCAGTAATACTTTTCCTATACTAGTTTCAGCTAGTATTCTCTGATTTTAATTATGGATAGCTTACTTTTGAAAATGAAAAATTCTGTCATCCCTGCAAGTTATTTGCCTACCTGTGCCACTCTGAAAATCCCAACATAGGGTTTTCAGGAACATGCAGATGACAGTCACTCACAATCCTTTGAGATATCTGAGCAAAGTATCTTTTGTATTATCCTGAAAACTCTAGGTAAGGCCCTGAGATTTTTTCCCCTTAATAGTCTTCATGTGGTAGGCTCCTCACCTTATTTCTCAGACAACTAGTATACACTGCATTCCTCATCTGGAATAATCTCCTGAGATCTATATCAATTTCCCAGTCTAAATTCCTACCATTAATTGTAGATTAAGTAACAGGATTGGTTCCTCACAAGTCTCCTATGAGCTGTTCACGGTTTCCCTTGAATCCTGCCCATACTGATCATCATGTTAATTAGAGCTTGTTGCAGGCGATGAAGGTGAGCTATAATCCTCCCAGTGTTTCCACAGCCCTGCCCCGTCTTGCCTTGCCCAGCAGCAGGGCACAGAATTTGCATTCAAAACTGGTTCCTCTCTGGCAGTATTTTAAGTGGCCATTACACCTTGAGGCCTGCCGAGGAAATAGTAATTCTTCTGTTCAACCTGACTAAGTAGTTTTGCTTGTTTTGCAATATTCACTTCCTCGTTTTGTATGTTATATTAGCAACTGGTGCCAGCCTGTCCAAATCTGCCCTTTTCCAAGTAGACACCTTAAAAACTTTTCTAGAACAGTTAAATCCTGCCTTTCTCCCATTGTATGTGAGTCCAGTTTTCACTGACTTGGTCTCTCACAGTCCTTCCTAGGAAAAAGGCTTTCGGTAGAGTTGCTGAGCAGATTTTCCTGTCATTTTCAACATGGTTGGCGTCTTCAGGAGTTTGTGTCAGTGAGGACATCCAGTGTTCACTCCTCTCTGCTAGCAATTGTGCTCAAACATTACATATGAGTTCATCCTGCAGAAGGGTAGAAGAGAAGTTGCATTGTATCCTTATCCTTGCTGCTGTCTAAATTGGATGAAACAATTTGTTTTTTGTAATTCATCTTTAGACCTCTTCTTTTGGTGAGACAGAGTTTGATAGGTGGTGCAAGGTAAGCATTTGAAATTTTAATTACAATAGAACCAAAAGATTTTGAGAGACATCTAAACTTTTTTGGTAGTCTCTGGGGATAGATCTACAAAGATCCTGTTCTGTGCAGGGACAAATACTTCAGCTGAGAATGATTGTGATGACTGTCTAGAAAGATATTTGGGTACATAATAAGATACAGGAAGATATTTTTAGGCTACATATATATATATGTAAGAAACATTTTCGCTACCTCATGATACTTCCCACGTGGAATATATTCCTAAATTCAGAGCTACGGAAGTCCCAGTCTGTGTTAGGAGGAGCTCAAGGCAGTGGTCCTCAGTACCTCAGAGAACTAGGTGTCATTTCTCCAATATCAGTCTTACACATGCCGTACCCTTCAGAAATGGGAGCCCATCTTTCTTTGGCTTCTGAGATTAGCAAATAGGTAGTTGAAGAAATGCATGAACCCCTGCTGATATCTGATGTCAGCAATTAGCCCTCTTAGAGACAGATGGTATAGGCAATTAGCCTTCCCCTTCAGTGCTGGCATCAGCCAGATGGGCTGGGCTAGGTCCAGTAAGCTTTCTTTAATCAGCAGAGTATTTTCTCCTTTTGTTAGTCTTTAAGATGTCAAGGAACTTCTGGTCTTTTCCTGAACTGTCATAATCTGAAGCCATACATTCAGAAACCTCTTGCACTGACAGTAAGGCAGCAGCAACACAATCACAGTTTGAAACAGGCATCATTCAGGAATCACCCTGCATGTTGAGAAAATAATGGCTTATCTCACACTTCTCCTTATTTTTACTACAAAGGTAGAGGAAGAATCATGAATGCTGGCTAAACACTGAAAATAAAGAGTTGAACTAATAGGAGTCAATAAGGGCTGCACCCTAACTCCTCTAGAAAAGAGAGGAGAAATGGGATTTTCAAGTTGACCTGGTCAAAATATGTTTAGCTCTCTGACATATTGGTGGATCCCTGCCAATCAAGAATGTGCTAATCAGTGGTTAGAGAGAGGGATCTTGTAAGATAATGCAACTTCCTCTGACCCTGAAGGCATGACTTTCTGTATTCATAACTGTAATGGGCCTGGCTGATGCACTTTCCAGAATACAGACTTACTCCCTGACCTCAAAAGCATGTAACCTCTCTGTCCTTTCTCAGAAAGATGGCTTCTCTTAAGACCATGTCCCATATGAACTGGTTTTATTGTGGCTTTGGACATAAATAAAATTTTACAATCAGATATTCTCCTAGGCTGTAAGGGTGTTTTTTCTTTTGTGGCAATGGTTTATTAAGAGCGTTTCTTTGGAAAGTATACCAGAATGAAGCCTTAACACAATTTGTGCACCATTTCACAAAAAGTGTCAAATAACCTTTAATTAAAAATCTAAAAAATTATTAAAAGCCCTCTGTAAACATCAAGAAAACAGAATACAGCAACTTGGGAAGCTTGAAAATTTTCTCCAAAAATGTACATGAAATTTGTATGCCTAAAGAATTTACATTCTTTGCAGAAATTAAGGTGCCAAGTCAGCTGGGAGCTGTAACTCATATGTAGCCTTAATGCCACACCTTGCTGCTGTGAGGGGGCACAACCATCTGCTTTTCAACTATTTATTTGTGGTGACATAAATGAGTTAACCCCAAGAGGACCATCAAGAACCTTTTCTCAGAAAAGTTTATTATAGTCTGGAAAGTTTACATAATAAAAATCTGAGTTTGTGTAGTTGTTCTTGTCTGACTCTTAAGGAAGATGAGCTGGTTGATTTGAGCCCAAAGTTAATTAACAGCAGAGACAGAACCATACTTAGGAGTTCTTGATTCCTATACTTTATCTCCTTTCTTGTAACAAAAATCTTGGTTACTTCCCAGACTCTTTTGGCCTTTCTCGTCAAGTTTATTGTGTCAGAGTCTGCATTTTGCGGAGCCTGGATTAGTACTGATGAACTTATGATGTGTTGCCTGCCAGATTTGTGGCATTATGGTCATGGAGCTTCAGACAAAGATACAGTAAATCTGGCTTGACCCACGAGCAGCTGTAGCTGTGTGTTGTACATTTCCTTTCACTCTCTGTCATTAATTAATGAGCTGAATTATACAAAATGTACATATAACCACAAACTTTCACTTCAGTCTCTGTACCTGTCCCAGCTAGACTTGGGATAAGATTTGGACCAAGGTGCAAGCACCCCAGCAGCTGTGTCATCGTGGGTGGATGATGAGTAAATGTATTGCTGGGTGGATCTGAAGCCTCTACCTTCCTCTCCTGCCACTTCCCTTGGCTTGGTGCTGCTGTTGCCTTCTTTTTCTGGCTGAACATTTTGAATTCAGCTCCATCACAGGAAAGAAGGAGACAAGAAGCAGAGAGGCTGCTTGGCTCAGCAGGTGTCACAGTGGCCCCTTGTTGCTAGCAGCAACAGTTACAGACTTATTTGTCAGCCCAGCTGGATATTTGAGGTCTCAGTGGGTTGCAAGAATGTGTAACAGGGCTCCAAAACATGTGAATGCTGGCAGTCATGGAAAAAGGGGTCTAAAAGTGCCCAAATGATACAGATGTGTTTTGTGCAAATCTAGGAGCTTGCAAATAAAATGGATTCACTTGTATTATCCTAAGCAGGTGACCAAATTCACACAAACTGAGGAGTTTAAAAGTATAAAACGCACCTTCAGGCTGATTTCCTCAAATGGTCTATTGTGTCTGTCTGAGATGGAGTTGATTTTCCCCACAGCAGCCCTCCTAGTGCCGTGCTTTGCACGGGCAGCTGGAAGGGAGTTGATGACACACCAGTGTGTTGGCTACTGCTGAGCAGTGCTCGCACAACACCCAGGATGTCCCTCCAACATCTCCCTTCACCCGTGGGCTTGGGGTGGGCAAGATCTCGGGAGGGGACATAGCCAGGACAGCTGACCCAAACTGACCAAAGGGATATTCCATTCCCTATGTTGCCTCCTTGGCAGTAAGAGTGGAGAGAAAGGAGGAGGAGAGGGGGTTTTCATTATTTATGACATTTGTCTTTTGGAGCAACCACTATACGTACTGAAGCCCTGCTTCCCGGGAAGTGGCTGGACATCACCTGCTGATGGGAAGTAGAGAATAAAATCTGTTTTCCTTTGCTTTCATGCATGACTTTACTTTTGCTTCATTAAATTGTCCTTATCTTGACCCACGAGCCTTTCATTATGTTTTGTCTCCCCTGAGCAGCTGAGGAGGGGAGTGATAGAGCAGCTGGTGGGCACCTGGTGTCTAGCCATGGTCAACCAACCACAAATGAGTTTTATCATCCACACTTATTGTCTGACACTGAAACAGGAACAAAACCAAAACAGGCTGCAAAAGCTCCAAACTCTTCTTCACCAGATGCTTTCTAACAAACAGTCCTTCTATCAGTCATTTGAAGATCCTACTATAATTGGTTTGTTGTTGGTGGTTTGTTTATTTTTGTTTTGTTTGTTTTGTTTTGTTTTAATTGAAGGACAAAACGCCAGACTTCACATCTTCATCCCACAAAAGAGGATGGAGAAACTGTCCATTCACCACATCTTCTTTTGCAGGGTCTTGCGGTTCCCAGTTGTGTAGCTGAACCTCACATCCATTTTGAGTATTGATAACTTGTTCTTTCCTGCTGCATCTGGTTTCCCATCTTCTAGAGAACTGAGCTAGTCAGTTAAATAAGAATTTACAGGATCACAGTACTTGTGAGCATGTATGAAAGCTTAATTTAAAAAACACGCTTAATTCAAACTCATTTAAAGCTTAGCATATTTCAGTACATATAAGTGCATAATCAGAATGCCCAGATCAATTTTTTGTTCCTATGTGAAACACTGCAATTACTGTATAGTAACTATTATTAGGTATTAATATAAATATTAATAAAATTATAATGTAAATATTAATATAAGTAATAATAAGTATTTTACTGTCTGTGATCTAACTCTGATGTGAAGTGAAACTTCCAGTTTAGATGCATTTGTATTTTTCTCTGAATCACAGACAGGTTTGGGTTGGAAGGGACCTTAAAGCCCATCCAGTCCCCACCCCCCTGCCCCGGGCAGGGCCCCCTTCCCCCAGCCCAGGGTGCTCCCAGCCCCGTCCAACCTGGCCTTGAACCCTTCCAGGGAGGGGGCACCCACAGCTGCTCTGGGCACCCTGGGCCAGCGCCTCACCCCCCCGCACAGGGAAGAATTTCTTCCTTCTATCTCATCTACATCTGCCCTCTTTCGGTTTAAAACCATTACCCCTCGTCCCATCCCCATCACTCCCCGATCCACAGTCGTCCCCCCCCTCTCCTGCCCCCCCTTTAAGCCCTGGGAGGCCACTCTCAGGGTCCCCCCGGAGCCTTCTCTTCTCCAGGCTGAACCCCCCCAACTCTCTCAGCCCGGCCCCCCAGGGGAGCTGCTCCAGCCCCCCCAGCATCTCCGTGGCCTCCTCTGGCCCCGCTCGAGCAGCTCCGGGTCCTTCTGCTGTTGGGGGCCCCCGAGCTGGCCCCAGCACTGCAGGGGGGTCTCCCCAGAGCGGAGCAGAGGGGGAGAATCCCCTCCCTGGCCCTGCTGCCCCCCCTGCTCTGGCTGCAGCCCAGGGCACGGGTGGGTTCTGGGCTGCCAGCGCACGGGGCTGGGTCATGTTGAGCTTCTCATCAACTAATGATATCATGGAAGATATATGATGGAAGATATTCTGCTTCTCATACATACAGTATATAGCTTATGAGGTAAATACAAAACTCAGTTTTAACTATGGTATGATTAATGCTTCAGTAATATTTGATTGTTTCTGTAAATGAGGTCAACAGTTACAATCAGAGGTGGTTACATGGTTATATTCCATATGTATGTTCTGTATTTGCTCAAGTGTTACTAAAAAAATTCTCAGATACACAGAAAAGTGTACAGAATAAAATCTATAGTGGCAAATCAAATTTTACCTTAGAATGTGTGTTGTCCTAGATTTTGCATTTGAATGTTCTCTGGATTCTCTTTGCACGTTGAATAGAAAACAGAAAATTGCAAGTATGCATGTAATTTCGTATTACCTGCACACAGATGATCTGAGTGTAAATACATCCTTCCAAGGTTAACTTACGCTCTTGTAAGAAATTTCTTAGTAAACTAATGTTAGACCATCTCCAGCACAGCTCTGGTATCTGCCATCATAAGACAGAGGTCATGACGGTCTAACAAGTCTCACGTTTATGAGGGTGGCATGATATACCTAGTTAATATACTTTTACCACCTCAGATACTTTATTTGCCACCTGCTTCTGCTATATGGTACTTCTGTAAGTTCAGAACTTGGTGCTTTTTTGTAAATATGTGCATAAATTATAACAAAGCAGAGTCTGTAGGCTGCTAGTTTTAACTTATATCTAAACATGGCATTCAAATGTTAATAGAGTGAATAAATCTTGTTCATTTCACAGACATGAAAATGTCAGTAGTATAAAACTATTTATCACAAGATAATGGTTTCTGACACCTAATAAATGCCAAGATGAAGCTACTTATTGAAAGTACATAAAAATATTCTATGGCTGTTTGCCAAAAATAAATATTCAGGAAAAACTGACATGCTTATTTTCTAAGTGGTTGACACTAATTTCTTGCCATAATTGTAACATCACAACTAAAAACCTGATGCAACAATGCTATATAAATGCAGCTCAAGAAAAAATTATGGGCATGTAGGTTACCAGAATGAAGTAAAGTTTTGTTGGTAAAATTTTGTTCCTTAGATTTTTTCCACTCTCTCACTATGAAATGCATGTATTTTCTTGAGATAACTGTTCATGACATTGTTTTGTGGTTTTAAATTCATCTTACCCAAGCATTGTTTTACAAATTTGTTTTCAATTGACATCTTAGAACTGAAACAGTAAGTTGTTACTCTCAGGTGACAGAGAAGAAAGCTGAACAGGGAATTTAGGGTAGTTTTATATGCCCCTTCAGTCAGGATTTGAGCAACACTGTTTTGGTGTTATGGGGCCAGACGGGGCTCAGTCACAATTTGCTGTTTTTTTTTTCTGTCTGCTTCCATACAATTAGTATTTTCAGATCTACTTTTGCTATTGTGTATTAAAGATACAGCATGATTAAGAGTTTTGACTGTGGGTTGTTGTTCTCCCCCTTCCCCCCCAGATGGAAGACCTTTAACTCTGGAAGAAATATGGAAAAATGTTCATGCATGCTACCAGGCTCGTCTGCTGGAGGGGCCCTGGGACACTATTACACAGCAGGTGAGAAACCACTGGTCCTTTACAAAGCTGATGAATACAATATATGCCTGAATCCTCAATGGCCTTATTCCCCTCTTGGACACAACTGAAATATGTAAAAGTCTAACTGAGTTTGTGCTGAGCCAGTTATGAACAACAGTTTTAGTCCTGGATTTTGGCAGATATATAGGTGTTCACCATGGAAGACTTAATGTGACAGTATCTCTTACTTAAAATACTTTTCCAATGCCAATCCTGAAAATTTCAGGCAATTTGTAAGTAATCATTGATTTGGGTAAATACAAGGTAGATTTATTTATATAAGTGAAATATATTAGTGTAATATTTCACACATTGTTTATTAATCAGGTTACCAAAAAAGACTGTAATTTTCAATTTTAACTTTTCACCTTTAATTTTTTTAAATTTTCAGCTTTAGGATTGGAGGAGAGAAAATTGGTCTCTCAGTCAAATAGTAAGTTATTGCTGACTATGTCCTCAAGAATTTGTAGTTAATGAATGCCATGTTTTGCAAGAGGAAGCAGATTAGCAAACTGTGATATCACTGCCTTCTTTTAGAGCTAGTCAAATCACTTCCATTTAAAGAGATTTTAAAGTCACCAGATCATTTCAGCAACCGTTCCCAGACTTCTGATGACGACTCTCATGAAAACAGTCATGCTTATTCGAGGAAGAGTGTGAGATATGGTTCAGAGCTGAGTTGGTTGTTCTGGTTTCTTCCCTTGGCTCCAGGCCTTCAGTGCAAATTTGGACAAGGAATAGAGACTCTCTGGGTGTGATTTTTTTATCATCAGACAAAGATACTAATGTGTCCTTTCTTCCTCCCCTTTCCTTCCTTGACTTCTTGATTTTTGCTGTTTCCAGGTACACAGGTCTCTTACCATAGTATCCAACACAGCAAGGATGTAACCTCAGCTGAGTGCTACAGGTGTTTCCTTAATTCAACTAATACTATTTAATTACAGGATGCCTATTTATAGTTGGTACTCAATGAGAACACAAGCAGCATTCATGCTTTTGCAGCCATGGACTTTTACTTAAATTATAAAAGCTCCCTGAACACCTAACACGCATTGGTTTTCTGATGTTTGTTGTGCATGTCTAAATTCCAGTTTTGAGTTTGAAGATTCTCATAATGCATCCTTTTACATAATGTATTAATTACCTGACTTGCCTACTGCAGAATGAAGATGAGAAATTTATGTTTTAATAAAATCATGTAATATGGTAGCAGATAATTGATTTTCTGCACAAGAAAGTGTTGCAGTTCAGATTTTTCAGTAAAAATTTATGATTTATGGCTGAAGTTTCAGGTTTGTGTCTAAATCAATCATGACTGTTTCTGCATAGAAAGTCAGAGGATTCAATTAACTTTGCTTTCACTGCATCCACCTTCTTGCATTCCTAGTAGACAGAGATAAGTAACCCTGCAGTCAGATGCTAGGTATCCTTTAGGGCTTACATCTCTGGTATTTCCCAGCTGAGCTGTTCTGGCTTGTGGTAAATTTATATTCCCACCTGCAAAAATGTACAGGAAAATCTGCTATGTGCACTCCAGAGGTGGTGTGCTTTCTCTGTGCTCACATTATACTGTGGCCTGAAGCCACGTTCAAACTCTTATGTAGAAAGCACAGTCTCTTTCTATTTGTCTGCAAAGCACTGCAAGAACCTACAGCTCTGTAGAGATAATAAATCATAATGCATTGCTACTGAGAATAAAGTGTAAACAGTATGTTTGGAATGTGTAAAATCAGAGTGGTGGAAGTCAAAAGGAAAAACAGGTCACTCTCACTCAGAGATTATTTGTGTCTCTTAAGGAACAGTAAAGTCAAACTGTCCTGCATCTAATAATTAGAGATGTGTGTGAGATACATACACACAAAGACCTGCAGAAAGAGTGGTAAAATTTGTGGAGTGCTGAACCTGATGTCTCTGTGACACCTCTCCAGAGGCAGTTCAGCCAATGTGACTCCAATGACAAGCACAAACTAAGATGTAAGGAAAAACATTTTGGAGAAATTAGCAGTTATAGCAGGAAAATACTATTGAACATAACAGCAAGGTGACTTTCCATTAAGTAAGGAGATTACAAACTAAGTTAAACTGTCTATCCTAGAGTAATAAAGACTATACCTCAAGCTGATAGCACAATGCCAGGACTGCTGGCAGGGAGCAGAGGCCAGAGGAGTTAAGGTCCTCCAACAATCCCACTACACAAGTTGGAATGACTTTGCTTTTTTACCTGTGCAATTTGTATGTATGCCTTCTCCCTGTGTGTACCTGTGGCTGAAAGCCATTGAATTCCACTGACTTCAGTGAGGTTAGCTTGCTTTACATCAGTATTGAACTTGGTCCAAAGGCCCCAGCTGCATTCCTGGATTGGAAATACACTTTCCCACATGGCTGCGAGAGAGAGGCTCCAGAAAAGCAGCTTTAAGAGGTCTACGGTTTTAATTTTAGATGAAAGCAGAAAGGCAGCAGGCAGTGAGGGAGCATTTGCTTATGGTCATTCAGTCAAGTGATGAGAAGACAAAGGAATGCGTGGTTTGTGGAAGCGTACATCTCTGGAGCTGAATCAGAGGAGAGGAAAGCATCAGTACAATTAGCAGTGTGAACTCTATCATATTTTCAGTGCCAGCAACCATTGGTGCAACAAACACTTCCCCTTGTAAACTGAGATACGTATGCCAGTCCAAATATAAAACAGCACTAGAAATCAGAGTATTCTCAAAGGAATTATGAAGGATAATAAAAACATAATGTAAGCACTAGTCTGCAAGCCTCAGATCAAAGCAAGAGTTAGGTCTACAAGAAAAAGAGTATTTTCCCCCCTCAAATGAATTAGGGTTCTGAATTGAAATACAGGGTTTTCTCTTCCTTTTCTGATTTTCTGCTGACCCATTTTGTTATGTGGGTTAGGCTTTGCCTACAGGGACACAGATCATATAATGCAAGTCACTGGGCGAACTCACTAAATCAGGCTTGAACTCTCAGTACACGTGAACAGCAGAGAGAAAAGGTTTAGGATTTTGCTTCAAAACAGATACAAATTTTAGTTTCTACAAGCAATCCACCACTGAGAAGAAAAATGTACCCTACCACTGTCCACTCATAATGTTGCTTAACTATTAACTAAGGCTAATTTTGCACATTGATTCGATAGATGGCAGATTAGGAAATAAAGTCATGTTGCCTTTTCTTCTCCCAGATCCAGGATCTTACAGGAATCAATTGGGACTTATATTCCATATATTTTATGAAATGTGGGTGCCATGCATGTGCACATTTTTGATACAACTATATTTTGTCTTATACTCTTCCTGGTAAAATATATCTGAGATCAGGAACTGAGACATTACATAAGCTCCGAAGTATTTAACTTTTTGACAATTACATTTGGCGATTACATTGCCAAAACCAAATTTTAGGTAAAATTTTAAAAAAGTTACTTTTGACTATTGTGGAAAGTCATGCTCATTTTTAGAGAAAGCATCTTCAAATATTTTTACTGACTAGGTTATTTTTATTGCAAAAAGCAGAAGTCAACTAGTTACCTTCTCATAAATAAATTAGCATGATAAGGTTGCATAGTATTTTATAATGATAATTGATAAATGGTGATGATTTAATTGCACTTCCTCTAGTAATAATCTTGAAAATGCTTAAATGAAGTTCATATGATTGGCTGTCTTCTGAGTTAAATATCCCTGGAGTCTTCAGTCATCCCTTTTCTACATCCGGCGATAACTTGCTTTAGCTGTTTTAAATAATACAAATCAATTATAACACACAGCTGTTTAACAAAACTTCTAAATGTTGCTACAGGTCTCTGTGGATATTTCCTGATGGCTTATAATGACATTAATTTAGCACACCTGGTAAGATCTGTGTGAGCTGGAAGCAGCTTAATTCTGCAATGACAGGAAAATTAAGGAGTATTTATGGATTACTGTTGCATTTCAGAACCATTGCCAACTGTGATTTTAGCTTCTTTTTACAAAGAGTCAGAAATGGAATTGCAGACATTGCATGCCTGTCTCCTGAATAATTTACTCGTAACTTGGTGGGTACTTTTGAGGATATCCTGTATTAGTTATTTCTCTCTACACATTGTACACAAAAGAATGTCTCTTCATCTTTTGAATTAATGGATGCTAGAAATGTAGTCTTCACAAGAAGCTCCCTTCCGAGTCCTTGTAGCCTTTCCTGAACAGCAGGCAAACAGAGATTTCCTCAGTTGTCCCTCAGTTAGGTTTTCCCATTCAGCTTGATTTAGGATGGAATCCCAGACTTGCATCCCCCATACCACCATGCTGGGGAACCTTTAGGCTCTTTACGCTGTCAGCCCTGGTGTTTTTCCTGACTGCACTGCTTTTTAAAAGTACTTATTAAGCCTGTTATATATCAGCTGTAAGATCAAATAAGAGATCTAGATGTTTGGAAGAGGCCAGGGGGAGAAAAAGACAGATATGTCAGACTGCAAGAAGTTGCAAATAGGATGAATGTAAAAATAACACTAAGGCTCCTAGAGAGATTTCAGATCATAGTGGAAAACAAAACCAAGACACATTCTCCAAAAACTCAGCTAAAAGAAAGTTATGGTAAATGGGAAGAAAAGTCTAAACAAAAAAATGATGAAGTCAGTCATCGTGGTAATGGATGGCAGCAAGAGACATGTATTTCTCTCACATGTACTGTGATATTCAGCAGAGAAGTGCAGTACAGTTTTAAGTAAATACATAGTGGCATTGTGTAAAACAGCTCAAACATATTGGTCCCTCTTTGTGTAATTGAACAGCAGATCCACCACATTAATATCTATGTATAATATACCAGAGGCATAGTTAAGTTGGCAGCAGTCCAAAAGTGCCATAGTCAAATGCTAAATGATGAGACAATTTGAAAGGAAAAAAATACAAGAATAGAAAAAAAGTTCAAAAACAAAGAACAGAGAGTAGAGAATAGAAATGTAAGAAAGGGGGAGAAATCTTCCTGATTGT